TATGAAAATGTTTTAAGTTTATGCGAAACATCAATTTATTGGAAGAATACGTGGTTAAAAATAAGTTAAAAAAATATTTTTTTAGAGAATTGAGCTCCAACGGGGACTACACTTGGCATCTTTTGTCAGCCAAGTGTGCGCTTGTTATTATTTCCCATTTATTAATTTTCCTAAATCAGATTTTAGTAATTCCGATCCCACAGTAATTATATTTTAATTCTTGTTCACATTAAATTTTCCTCTTTTTTTTTTTTATTGACAACTGTGGGGAAGCTAAGATCAACATATCAGGATACTTACACCTGCATGTGTATATGCACATATAAGGCCTCTAAAAAGTTTACGCATGAACTTGGAAGCTCCAATTTGACCCCCATTTTTCAAAACTCATTTTCAACAACATTATTCTTGAGACCCACAATTTTTTATCAACTATTTAACCATACGTTTCACTGACTTTGCTACTAAAAATCTAATTTTTATCCAAAGCAAATAAGGGCAAAATTTCATACTAGACCTTTCAATATCTAGTACCATTAATTTGTTTGATATCAACAAGAACATCAAGACAATAATATAAAGATACCAAACATGTTTTAATGCATTTTATCCTCGGAAATGGACCCGCCCCAACCTTATCTTAATTGAGTTATGCAAATAAATGTGAAACACGAAACATGGTTTTTCCACCTTTCAATTATATCAGCCAAAATTCATTAATAGATACAAAAGAACTCTATTATAACTGACAGAAACAGCAGATGAGCTGTGATGTCCTATAGCTTCTGCTTTCTATCTCAACTTTTAAAACGTTTTGGAAAAGAAATAGGAAACAGAGAATAAATAAACAAACTGTCAGTTAATAATTTACAAGTTCTAGTATCTGATGAAGTAAAAGTTAGTACTTGATTACGTGATGGCGCAACCAAAGTTCATACATCAACATATGAAAAGCATCATGTTTTATGGGAGGTGAGTTCCACTGGAAGTGCTTCTGGACCTGAAATGAGAGCATCATTAGAAATTGTCATCTGCAAAGGCAGATTTTAACTGAACCAAATACTTTCTTACCGAGATAATTAGATAAAAGTTAGTTACACCGTGTGAAATAAATTTACAATTTACCTTGGGTTTATTTTTTAAGTTGTAAATCCTGTATGCCCATATTTTTTCGAAGTCATTGAGTTTATTTCAAAGTCATCATGAGGAAGCTCGATTTGCAGTAATATCCTTAAAGAATAAAAAGGTAGAAATTATTTTTGCAATGTGGAATCCTATCAAATACTGCACATAAAGGGCAAAAAATGTAAAATATAAGCTAAATGAATTGTGTTTGTTTACAATTTCTCTTATGGGTCAATTTTAGTCTTCACTCTTGGGGTTCTAATTGAATTACAAAAAACAAACACTTATAATCTTGTCATCAATCAAGATCATTGTCGGAAAAAAAAAATGTATAAAAATAATTGTAAGAAATTATCCATGAAAGGTGAACCTCATTACAAGTTACTAATTTTATATTCATTTGCATGACTTGAAAATCTGGATGAGATAAGCTAAGAAAGATTTGGCAAAAATGTAAAATCCAAAGGTAGAAAATTTTGTAGTCAAGTAAAGGTTGTTGTCGAAATAAGTTAATTTGATACGTGTCTACTTATTATAACTTGATAAATAAGTATTAAAATGAATAAACTTTGTGTTTGGTGATTTTTCTGTGACTACAACAAAAGGTTGGGAACTAAAACTGATAAAAAGATATTTACCTTGACCAAATTGTAGTGCAATTTGACAAATTCTTCTTGTGTAACGTTCTTAAGAATTTGCTTCAGCTGGTAGACATCTTTCTCCTTTAGTATGACCGAAAATTTATGCCAATTTAGAATGTCATTAAATGGCAGATCATAAAAATTAGAGAGTATCACTGCAAGCAAACATTCAAAAAAGTTCAGTCAAATAGTCATCTTTTGAGTCGTGGAGAAAAATGAATAAACATTTAAATGCATGAAATCCAGAAAGATGGATAATTCTGAAAATTTTAAAACATAAGTGGAAGGGGGTGGGAAGGAAGTATAATTTTTTTAAGGCCTTCATTTAAATGAGTACTTAAAACTAATAGATAGAAAAAGAAATGATCCAACAACTTAGAAGAAAAATCCAAATAAAGATTCTTTGACGAGTACGAGTTGTGCTTCGTACGCACAAAAAAGACAATAGATTCAAAATGGACAGAAAGATGTTCACTTGATGGATTCGACAGAAAATTTAGACAGAGAAATCTTAGCAAAAATCTACCCTGCCAGGATTGGCTGAAAGCAAGAGAAAAGGATGAAAGTGAAGATGCTTGCTCAATTCACCACGACAGACACAGCCTATTCTTTTTCATTCAAAAAGGGGGAAAATTTTCCTAACGATAAAACTGCCCATTTATGATGTTGACAACTGAAAATACCGTCCCATGCACCAAAATTATTGTGTTTGACAACTGGAAAGATGGGAACATAAAACTGAAAACAATTTAAACACAGACATGCCATAACATGAAATTGTATTTCACAAATAACAGTGTGTGATATTCTAAGACCGAAAATGACATATGGCTGACTCCCCACTCTTTGTTCACATCTCTATTATGCAAGTTACTTCAACATCCACTACAGAATTTCCTCCGCACATAATATAAGAAAAATGTTGTCTCTGTTTCACAGATGGAACTTGCATCTTTCTACTTCCATTATCTTCCACACTTTCCGTCCCAGCCCCAAGTAATTCTTAAATAATAAACTGCAAGACACAATGAAAACCCAGACGCAATTGCAGACTGGTCTCCTGAGTTTTCATATGCTCAGGTAGCGCACAAACAGTATAGTGCTTTTTAAGTAAACATGACATGCATTGATCTAAGGATAGTAAATGCTCATATGGAAGAATATTACAATTTAAAGGGACACAAGGCTTACTATTTGTTTTCATCCTAGTAAACACGAATGCCATTGAGAGCAGCGGTCTAATTGTAAAATCTAGTTCTATTATACAAAATTTAGAAAATTATCATTTTATATTTCTTAATCTTTATTCATTTGTCATTCATTTAGATATAAATTGTAATTATAGTTTTCACGATCAAGCATGGTCATCTTTCAAATGAGTTTAAGCTTTGTGTACCATATAGAAGTGAGAGAGAACTCATGTAAATTGTGCTGAAATCTTAATTCATTGAACCACACTGGACAAGAATGCTGTCTTGGTCATGGATATGCACAAGACTTAGCAAGCACAATGAGCAACCAGTTGTCACTAGAAGGCTTACAACTTCTTCTAGCCCCATTATAGGTGAAGAAATCGTATAGCAAGGACATCCTGGAGAGCAAATGGTATCATATGGCAGGTCTTGCGTGTTAAGTTCCATTATAGGTGAAAGACAGCATAACCCTCATCTTGTTCAATGAGAAAAAGTTCTAATGCTCTTCATTCTGTGTCTTTATCGAGCATGGAAGATGCAAAGATTGTAAATTGAAAAAGGCAAATTGATAACTAATACCTGACATCTAAAAGAATAAATTCTCACCAGGGATGCACCCGTAATGTATGGAATCTGCAATGCGAGCACTGTTAACCTGGGAGCCACCAGGGCAAATGCAGAACTTAGTCCTGTAAAATCTCTTCTGATACACTAAATGTCCAGTTGCCCTGTTTATCCTGTTGTTTGAAATATCAAGTTCTGTGTCATTCTCCCATACACGTGCCAGGATAACCCGAATTTTAGAGTTCCTATGCCCCGCCCAGAAACCAAGAGTTGTCCTGCATGTTTAATTATTAAGAAAGTAAATATTTTAGAGAACACTCCTGTGTTTCTTTTCAACTAAGTAATAACAGGCACCACAATAGGAAAAGTACACACTACATCAACTCTACTGGATTAACAACTCAAGAATACACTAGTATGGGACATTAATAACAGAAGGGAGAGCAAAAAGAGTGTAGAAGTACCATATTAAGCACAAAAAAGAGAAATGAACTTGGTAAAATTTATGTAACAAAAGCAAAAGCACAGAACTTGCACTGAATGAACAAATTTGCTGTCTCAATTTACTTGTTTTGCCAGAATAGAAAATCAAGTTTAAGAGCACCCAGGAAAATTTCTTCATGTTTTTACCAAAATTCTCTTCAATAAAAAATCATTGAGTCATCTAAACACATAACCGACAAACAAATGAATGTCTGCCAATGTTGTAACTTCAACTTTTAACATATATGTTATATACAAATACTTCAATAGTATACAAAATACGAGCTGCGAACAAAATACGAGCTGTGATTTACTATAGAAATTATTTTACTGTTCCTATAAATAGGTAAATCTTTCTTCACTCAAGCAAGCAAACAACATTTATTCACAGGTGAAGCCACGTAAACGGATTCCATCTGATGCTCCTTGCTCCTCACCATTTAAATTACAGGTTTTGGGTCCACTATTTTCCTGGGCACAACAACAAACCGAAACCACTCGGTCATTTTAATTACGGTAAGGCACGAGGCATTGAACCAGGAAGCTTTTCACCAAGATTTTCACAGATAAACACGAAAGCACTGAACCTGCAACTTTAAATGAATTACTTTTTTCACACCCCATAAAATGCAAAAACTTAATAAAAACATTATAATGACCAGCGCTCCAAAATATGATTTATTGTGATATTAGATACAAAGCTGCAGAGAAAGTTATCAAGAGAAACAATTTGCTGACATTTTTTACATGCACAAGCAAAACTTTTTCTCCTCAAGAATGAGCACAGAGCTTACTTGAATATTATAATTTGATGCGGTATAAAACAGTAGTTAGAATATTAAGATTATAGTATCACACACTAACACTTTCAAACACACACATACACACAGAAAGAGTGCCGGGGGGGGGGGGGGGGG